CAGGTGTATATAACAAGAGAATGTATTATTGCAAGCTGAAATTATAATGTTGAAATTTGTATTGGATCTGCTTCTGCTTTATTTCATGAGTGGAATAAAGAATGAATTTCTGTATTGTGTTTGCTATTGAAAATAAATAAAATAGTTGAAACTAGTTCATAGTTAATTACCATAGAATGTGGCAATTAAGAGGAAAGTTACAGCAAGCTTTTCAGCTTTCTTTGGGACACTGAAAACTAAGACCCATCCAGCAAAATGTAATGTCTCAGGATATAAACAAGTAATTTATTCCTAAACTTAACAGTTGAGAGAGAAAATATTTAACTTTATAAATACCTAGAGCAAGATTTTGAAACTTCATTACTTCTGATATTCAAAACACTGCTATCAAATTTATCATTCAACACATTATCATTAGACTTCCATATGATACTGTTAGCATTGACACACAATTGATTTGGAGTGAATGACCATTTGCAGTTATTGTTGTTCAGTTATTGTACAAGAATTTTATTTAAAGAGCAAACAAGTCTGTATCATGCAATGAGCTTTCTATTATTGTCAAGTAAACCAGTAAGGACTTGTTCTTGTGAGATTTGTCTCAAATGTTAAAATTAATTTGAGGGTTATTAAATTGGAATGTTCCATATTGGAACACCACCCTCACAATAAAGAAATTGAAAATAAATAGACAAACAAAAATTGTAGGTAAGTTAAATACCACAAATTAAAAAGGAAAAGAAGAAAAAAAAGCAATGTAACTATTACAAATTAAGAAGAAATTGCATCTTGATATGAAAATCTGGTATATTTGGATATAATCATAATACAAAAATATTATAGAAATCAGGAACACACAAAAAAAAAACAACCACAACAAAAGAACAAAAGTTTACTAGCTAGATGATACCCATAAACTAAAGGTGAAGAAAACAACAACATAAACCACAACAATTATATATAGCATCCTGCTACAGAACTATTGCCCTAAATCTATTCTAACATCTCAAGTTGTACTCCAACTTACCATAACTTCCACCAGTTGTTGTTGTTGGATGTACACTACCACTTTTCACAAATGTGTACATGTACCATCAAGTTTAATGTACGAGTGAATTATGTAGATCTTAGGAGAATGACTGGTATGTTTATGTTGCATAAGTGATGACCTACTATATGTTTCATCATAGTTAGTTTTCATCAATATTATTGATTATAATGTTGAAATTTATTTTTACATTTATCAAGATTATTTAGCATATTTTGCTTAGTACATATGGGTTTAGGAGTAGCCTAAATCTAAGCTAACCAAATTTCTTGAGTTATTGAGATGAGTGAAAGTGTAGTTATTTATAAGTTTTAGTTTCCTTGTGTATTGATTCTGGCATGACATACTTCTCATCACTTATGTAGAGTCAGCTTCATTAAATAATAAGTAACTTATTTTCTCCTTATCCACATAGTTAGCTTACTTTTGAACAAAAGATCTTAATATTAAACTGTTCCTTGTCTACAAATTAAAAAATATGTAATTTGCATTCTTGCCTTCAGAATACATTTGAAATCTTGTTCATTTTTTTATTTCCCTTTTTGTTTCTTCAGAATCACAACTAAAAGAAAAACAAGTCCAATCCTGTTCTTAAAAGCTTAATTGTGAATAGAATAAATGATGAGTTACCTGTACAGTTCATTAGCACAACGAGAGACTGAAGTACGAGAAAGGAGACAACGTTCACAGAGTCTTTCTGATGATCTGAACTTCTCAATTGATCATCGATTTTTGGATGAAGATAGCAGTCTCAATGAAGGGCATTTTGTGCCACCAGGAACACCTGAAGAAAATGTTCCTCTGAATCCTGACTCGCAGGTATTATTTTGTAGATATATTATATTTTAAGAATCAATTAAAGATATACGAGGTCTTGTTTCAATTTTGTTTAGGTTTGAATTATTGTTACCTATGTACTTTATATTTTTGTTTGATTTAAATAAATTTTAGTTTTTCATCCATTAGATATTCTAAAAATCACTGTCTGTATTGTGTAAATACGTTTTTTTTATGGTTTGCATCTTATTAGTTTTAAATAGCTTCAGCTTAAATCCTTGTTGAAGACATTTTTCAGTAGGGTAAATATGACTTCAAACATTTTCCCAGTGTATATTGGTTATTTAACACTTTAAACAGGTCTTCTATATATGAATTACTTTTCAAAAGACAATGGATTTCTATCATACTCTTCATTCTTTATACAAATGGCAGGGAAGAACTTGAAAAAGGTGAACTGATGAGAACAAAAGAGTTGTATGAAAGCTCTAATTCTAAGTTGTTGATGAGAGGCAATTTTAGTGCTTTTCTATCATTTTCTCAATATATTGATGGCCAAAACAGCTGTATGATTGATTTCTGATTATAGGATTAAAAAAATAAAAAATGTTTTGTCCAGTACATTGTTTATCTAATCCTAAAAGAGATTAAAAATCTTTAAAATGTTGTGGTTTGCCTAATATATGTTTTGTAAAACTTTCAGAGATTAAAAATAACTTAATAATCTTGTGTTTTGTAAGATATATTGTCCACGTAATCTCCAAAGTAGGTTAAAATATTTTAAATGTGCTATTGCCAAATATATTATCTGTATAACCTTCAACAAGGTTAAATAAAAATCTAAAAAAAATATTTTTAGCCAAGTGAATGTCTATATAACCTCTCAAGAGATTGAAAAGTTATAAACATGTTTACTCATCAACAGCACGTGTAAAGTAAAATTTGAAATGCAGTGAAGACAGAATAAAAGTTTGAAGCAATCACAGTACATTATATATATTAGGAAGCATGAATATTGAATTGAGACCTTATCTTGTGTAACAGATGAGAAAAAGTATATCTACTTGTATATTTGTCAATGTACAATCAATATCTCTGTCAATATACAGTCACTTCGATGTAACTACAGTAGCTACAGATAGAATGAGGTATTGTTAGAAATATGATTTTATGTATATTTATCATCAAAAGTCAGATTTCAAAACTGTTGCCCAATTGTCTGTAATACTAATTTCACACTTCTGTTTTAAAGGCTTAGCCTTCCTAGTACAGTGCTAATTTCAAATTGCTGCATTATAGGTTTAGCCCTCTCATTGTAGTGTTGTTTTAAAACTACTGTGTTACAGGCCTAGCCTTTTTGTCCACAGGAGAGATATAATTTGCTATTTCTTATTTTTAAAAAATCATATTATTGATTTGTTTAGTCAATCTTGAGCTAAAGTGTGGTTTCAAGCAATTTGTTATTGTCAATGTGTACACATTTAAACAAAATAAAAGTAATCTTTGATAGGTTGTTTAGGCAGAGTATTTATAATGAATCTAAGTTTCAAATGGACAGCAACTGCCTGTTGTAGAAACCTAGAAATGTAGAGGACGACGTTTCGAAAGTCTTCCGCCTTTCGTCTTGTGTATGTGTGATGTGGACAAGAAGACAAGAAAAATTAAAGAATCGTTTTACATTAACACAATAAAACCTTCACTAAACAGAGATTCAGGATTAGAGGTGAGTAAACTGTGGCTACCATTGGTTGAGGCTACAGGAAGTCTCCTCCAATCAGAAACGTGTTTTAACCAACCAATCATAACATGCTCTCCATAATCCACTAGAACAAAATAAAGAACAAACTACCCCCCCCCAAAGACTTTCAAAACATCGTCCTCTACATTTGTAGGTTTCTACAACAGGCAGTTGCTATCCATTTGAAACTTAGATTCAAAATAAAAGTACATTTTACATGGAATGTAAGAATGTAATAGTAATAAATAAAGGTCAATTTGTCCATCAAGGCTATCAATCACCTTTCCATATGTTAGTTACATGTATTAAATAAACATTTTTCTGCCTGTATATTTCCTAAAACAAGCAACAACAGTCCATGTTATCAGTTTCTAAAATGTCATGAGTGCAATAAGGACTATCTTAGAAATGACCAAACATTAAACTGCCTTAAGATAAGTGTTTTTAGGCAGTGACTAGAAGGGACAAGGAATTGATGATAGTGTATGAAGCAAAAACCAGTTTTTTATGTCTAATATTATGTTTTTTATTACCCCTTACATATAGAAGCAATCAGAAATTCTTAATACATACATTGCATTTTTTGTTTTACCTTTGACAGCTTCAAACCAAAAGAAAGGTGCTAGTCCCAGATATATTTGCTTTAGTCTGTGGGAGTTGTTGCACAGTACCTTTGTGCAAAGTCTTGTCTAGTTTGGTCAAAGTATATAGGTAAATTTTGGCCTCTGTCCGCCATAAAATCACAGGAAAGGCAGAAACCCTAAATTTGTGTGTGTTTAAGTCTGTGGGTGCTGTCACAAGATATATTTGTGCAGTCTCATCAAGATTGGTCAAAATATGATGGAACTTTTTATCTTTGACCCCTGTAAAAATCAAAAGAAAGGCATAAGTCCCAATTTTTTGGGGTTGCAAGGTATCTTTGTGCCAAGGCATATTTGAATTGATGGAAAAATAAGGGAACTGCAGGTCAAAATATGTGTTTCCCTCCTTGTGGTGTAGACATAATTAATATTGGGTTTATTATTACTAATTACTTAATATCTTAATTCACAAATTATGAACATTTTTATTGTACCACTTACAATTATATAGTATAATTTTTTGACTAAACCTTTTTATGTTTTTCTTGCTCTGTTGTAGTAATGATTTGACAAAGATCAGGAATTTTCATGAAGTCTTTGAGAAGTATTTCATCTGATTCAAATAAGCTATTTATATTGTGTACATTGTTTAAACTGGAAATATTTGTTACTTCAGTATTTAGTAAGTGAAATATTTGTGGAAACTAGTTCATGTAAAAACTGATATTGCAAAACAAAGAGAAACTTACAAAAATGAGTCTCTTTTTTTCTTTCTCTTCAATAACTGAATACTGTAGCAATCCCCTCCCCCCAGGATAAGGCAGTAGTTATAAAGAAATTGTTTTGAAACATAAAAACAAAAGTACTGAGTGTTTTTAAAATGCATGTATAGAGGGTGAGAAAGCTCCAGTAACTGAGAAAGTATGTTTTATATACAGCGTTTTGAGCTCCGATATCTATAAAATAGCATTTTAATTAAAGTGTAAAACACTCTTTGCGGAAGTCTTGCGTTAATTGAATTTCATATACCATACTGTACTTTGATCAGACTTTGAAAGCCTGGTAACACCAGTTCATGGTTAATATACATATTACTTGTCTCTAAGTCAGTTTCACAGTGGATTGAATAAAATAGATATTGAGAAAAATATTTCTATGTCAAAAACAGAAGATTGGCTACAAAATACGAGTTAATGAATATGAGTATCATGGCTTTCTTAATTCACGTCCAAAATGAACTTGTTGTTGAATATTTCATTTCCTCAATATACGTAGTGAACATTGTGAAAATACAAAGAACCTTAAATCAGTAGCTTTCAACCTTTTCGGTCTGTGTATCTCAATTATAAACAGAACGTTCCATGTGGCACTATGCGAAATACTTGTATTGCAAAAATATTGAGATGATCAATGGGAATGTTATAACGATTTTTATCGTTCAGTGGGTTCTTTTGGATTATTGGGTAAAAAATGTATAATAATGCAAAGTCTCTTATACTTAATAATAACAAAAGTGTTTTATTTCTTTCATTACAAGTTTTATAAGAACAACTTGTACAAGTTCCACGTAACTAACTTTAGGCTTGACATTCAAATAACGCCAAACAGTCAGTTGCTAATTTTTTTTATCATATGTACAGAGTTTCTGTTATCTCTCATTCGTTGTCGAAGTACAAACTTAATGTTCCCGAAATTGAAGTGATGGTTAAACTCTAGGACACTACTGTAAGACATATGTTAATCAATCAAAACTTCTTCAAGTCTCGTTGAAATTGCGTTTTATATCGTTCAGGTCGTTCCTTTAAATTTAAAAATAAATGTTAGTCTAGTGTTTCTCAGCCGGATTTGCTAGACGACCCCGCACCAGACCTTTGGTCGTCGCGACCCCACAGTATCTCTACAATGATGAAGAAACAGTTCGTCATAGTTCATAACGAAGGTGATATGCGTAGCTCTCGGAAATCTCGAGGTCTCAAGAAAAATTGTTGACTCAGCAAAGACAACTCGTGACTCTCAAGGAGGTCAGTCCGGCATGGCCAGGTAGTTAGGGCGCTTGACTCGCAATTTGGGGGTCGCGGGTTCGAATCCCCGTAACAGCAAACATTCTCGCCCTTTCAGCCGTGAGGGCGTTATAATGTGACGGTCAATCGCACTATATGTTGGTAAAAGAGTAGCCCAAGAGTTGGCGGTGGGTGGTGATGACTAGCTGCGTTCCCTCTAGTCTTACACTGCTAAATTAGGGACGGCTAGCGCAAATAGCCCTCGTATAGCTTTGTGCGAAATTTATACCAAACCAAACGAGGTCCCGACCAACATTTTGAGAAACACCGTTCTAGGCTTTAAGTTACACGCTCATCGTTTGACCTAAAAGAATATATTAAAAGAACTAGACAAGCAAACAGTACAAACGTCTAAATTAATAATTTGGCCTAGAAGAGTATTTTTGGCAGTAGTAGTTACTATTAAATTTATAGATTTGCTTTTCTGACCACTACAGTCGTAAATGTCAAGATGGTATATGGTGTGATATTGTGTTCTCTGAATGTTCATGAAAGTATGAAACGGTAAAAAGAAAAGTTCTAGAGTTGCCATGGTTGCAATTAAATAGGACAATTATTGGTACATACTACGGCTATAGGCTCATCTTTGGAGTAGTGGATATTAGTGGTTAGTAAGATAGAAATGGGTACACCAATTACTATATTGTGATGATAACAATTTGT